ATCTGTTTGAGTCTTCTCTCTTTTTTCTTAGTCTAGCTAAAGATTTGTCTATTTTGTCTTTTCAAAAAACTAACTTTTCATTTTGTTGATTTTCTGTATTTTTTGTCTCAATTTCATTTATTTCTGTTGTGATGTTTATTATTCTTTCCTTCTACTAATTTTGAGTTTGATATTTTTCATGTTTTTATAGTTCCCTCATGGGCATCACTAGGTTGTTTATTTGAAGTCTGTCTGTCTTCCCTCCCTTCCTTTCCTTCTTCTTCTTTCTTTCTCAGGGTCTCACTCTGTCACTTGGACTGGAGTACAGTGGTGCCATCATGGCTTACAGCAGCTTTGACCTCCTGGGCTCAGGCAATCCTCCTACCTCAGCCTCCTAAGTAGCTGGGAATACAGGCTATGATGACTGGCTAAGTTTTGTATTTTCTGTAGAGATGGGCTTTCACCATGTTGCCCAGGCTGGTCTTAAAGTCCTGGAGTCAAGCAATCCACCTGTCTTGGCCTCCCAAGGTGCTGGAATTCCAGGCATGGGCCACCACACCTGGCCTTATTTGCAATCTTTCTACTTTTTTGATGTAGGCATTTATTGCTATAAACTTTCCTCTTAGTACTGCTTCTGCTGTATCCCATAGATTTTTGTATGTTGTATTTTCATTTTCATTTGTTTCAAGAAATTTTAAATTTTTCTCTTATTCATGGACCAATTGGTTATTTGGGAGCATGTTGTTTAATTTCCATGTGTTTGTGAATTTGCCAAGGTTCTTGTTATTGATTTTCAGTTTTATTCCATTGTGGTAAGAAAGATACTTGTCATGATTTCTACTTTTTAAAATGTGTTAAGACTTGTTTTGTGGCCTAAGATATAGTCTATGCTGGAGAATGTTCCATGTGCTATTGAGCAGAATGTCTATTCTGCAGCTGTTGGGTAAAATGTTCTGTAAATGTCAGCTAGGCCTATTTGATCTACTATTAAACTATTAATGTTTCTTTATTATTTTCTGTATGAATGCTCCATCTTACTGAGAGTAGTAGGTGTGGTGTTAAAGACCCCTACTATTATTGCATTACAGTATATCTCTTCTAGATCTATTAAGGTTTGCTTTATATATTTTGGAGCTCCAATGTTGGGTACATAGATACTTATATCCTCTTGCTGAATTGACCGCTTTATCATTATAGAGTGACCTTTGTCTCCTTTGACAGCCTTGATTCATAGTCTATTTTATCTTATATAAGTATAGCTACTCCTGTTCTTTTCTGGTTTCCAATTGCATGGAATGTCTTTTTTCCACCCCTTTACTTTCAGTATTTTTATAAGTAAAGTAGGTTTCTTGTAGGAGGCATATAATTGGGTCCCATTTTTTTATCCATTCAGCCACTCTTTTTCTTTTTTTTTTTTTTTTTTTTTTTTTTTTGGTAGGGGGTGCTTTACAAGTTTTATTCAAGAACTCATACAAAATATTCTGGATAAATACATTTTAATCTTCACCTTCCTCCTCTTCTTCATCCAGCCTAATTTGGAAGTAACATCACTCATAACTCTTTTTGCTGTTAGCAACTACACACAACCAATCCATAGATTATTCTTCAGATATTTTTTGGTGAGATATGTCAGATACCTTTTGGAAAAAGGTACCTCAGAAGTCACAGTGATCTTGCTCTTGCTCTTACTCTTGATCCTTTTGATGGTTATAATTCTCCACCAAGATTCCCAGCTTTTCCATTCACTTTGATCCTCTCTTGCAAAAACTGCTCAAAATTGGCAGCCCTTATGATTCCATCCTTTAGAAGGTAGGCATAATCAAGAATGAACTTCAGAACCTGCTTCTTTGTTTGCCCTCTTTGCCACAAGCTTTTCACAGCACTCTATGCCTCCTTTTTTTTTTTTTTTGAGACAGAGTCTCACTCTGTCACCAGACACCAGGCTGGAGTGCAGTGGCGCGATCTTGGTTCACTGCAACCTCTGCCTCCCGGGTTCAAGCAATACTCCTGCCTCAGCCTCTTGAGTAGCTGGAACTACAGGCACGCACCACCATCCCCAGCTAATTTTTTGTATTTTTTAGTAGAGACGGAGTTTCACCATATTGGCCTGGATGGTCTCGATCTCTTGACCTCGTGATCTGCCCGCCTCAGCTTCCCAAAGTGCTGGGATTACAGGTGTGAGCCACCACGCCTGGCCTACTCTATGCCTCTTAATTGGAGAATTGAGTTCATTGACATTCAGTGTTATTATTGGTACATAAAGACTTTACTTTTTTTAAATTGATGCATAATCGATGTACATATTTTACGGGGTTTATATGATAATGTAATACATTCATATAATTTGTAAAGATCAAAGTAATGTAACTGGGATACCTATCACCTTAAATGTTTGTCTTTTCTTTATGCTAGAAACATTAAAATTATCCTCTTCTAGCTATTTTGAAATATACAGTATATTACTGTAAACTATAGTAACTTTACTGATATATCAAATGCTAGGTCTTATTTCTTTCATTAGACCCTATATTTGTAAGCATTAATCAACTTCTCTTTATCTCCCTCAATCTGTAGACTTTCTGGCCTTTGGTAAACACCAATGTACTCTATATCTTAATGAGATCTACTTTTTTAGCTTCCACGTATCAGTGAGAACAAGGATATTTGTCTTTCTGTGTTTGCCTTATTTCTCTTAACATAATGACCTGCAGTTCCATGCAGTTGCTGCAAATGACAGGGTTTCCTTTTTTTTAAAGTTTGGTTAGTATTCCATTGTGTATATATGCCACATTTTATTTTTATTTTACTTTAAGTTCTGGGGTACATGTGCAGATCTTGCAGGATTGTTACATAGGCATGCCTATGTCATGGTGATTTGCTGCCTCCATCCCCCCATCACCCACATTAGGTATTTCTCCTAATTTTATCCTCCCCAACCTCCCCACCCACTGCTATCCCTCCCCTAGCCCCCCACCCTCCAACAGACCCCAGTATGTGATGTTCCCCTCCCTGTGTCCATATGTTCTCATTGTTCAATACCCACTTGAGTAAGAACATGCAGTGTTTGGTTTTCTGGTCTTGTGTCAGTTTGCTGGGAATGATGGTTTCCAGATTCGTCCATGTTCCTGCAAAGGACATGAACTCATCCTTTTTTATGGCTGCATAGTATTCCATGGTGTATACGTGCCACATTTTCTTTATCCGTCTATCCTTGATGGGCATTTGGGTTGGTTCCAAGTCTTTGTTATTGTAAACACTGCCACAATGAACATATGTGTACATGTGTCTTTATAATAGAACGATTTATAATCCTTTGGGTATATACCCAGTAATGGGATTGCTGGGACAAATGGAATTTCTATTTCTAGGTCCTTGAGGAATTGCCACACTGTTTTCCACAATAGTTGAACTAATTTACACTCCCACCAACAGTGTAAAAGTGTTCCTATTTCTCCACACCCTCTCCGGCATCTGTTGTCTCCAGATTTTTTAATGATCGCCATTCTAACTGGTGTGAGATGGTATCTCAATGTGGTTTTGATTTGCATTTCTCTAATGACCGGTGATGATGAGCAGTTTTTCATGTTTTTTGGCCACATAAATGTCTTCTTTTGTGAAGTGTCTGTTCATATCCTTCACCCACTTTTTGATGGGGTTGTCTTTTTCTTGTATATTTGTTTTAGTTATTTGTAGATTCTGGATATTAGCCCTTTGTCAGATGGGTACCTTGCAAAAATTTTTTCCCATTCCATTGGTTTGCCGGTTCACTCTAATGATTGTTTCTTTTGCTGTGCAGAAGCTCTTAAGTTTAATTAGATCCCATTTGTCTATTTTGGCTTTTGTTGCCAATGCTTTTGGTGATTTAGTCATGAAGTCCTTGCCTATGCCTATGTCCTGAGTGGTATTGCCTAGGTTTTCTTCTAGGGTTTTTATGGTGTTAGGTCTTATGTTTAAATCTTTAATCCATCTGGAGTTAATTTTTGTATAATGTGTAAGGAAGGGGTCCAGTTTCAGCTTTCTGCACATGGCTAGCCAGTTTTCCCAACACCATTTATTAAAGAGGGAATCCTTTCCCCATTGCTTGTATTTGTCAGGTTTGTCAAAGATCAGATAGTTGTAGGTATGTGGCATCACTTCCAAGGCCTCTGTTCTATTCCATTGGTCTATATCTCTGTTTTGGTACCAGCACCATGCTGTTTGGATTACTGTACCCTTGTAGTATAGTTCGAAGTCAGGTAGCATGATGCCTCCAGCTTTGTTCTTTTTGCTTAGGATTGTTTTGGCTATTTGGGCTCTTTTTTGGTTCCATATGAAGTTTAAGGTGGTTTTTTCCAGTTCTGTGAAGGTCAACGGTAGCTTGAGGAGGATAGCATTGAATCTATAAATTACTTCAGGCAGTATGGCCATTTTCACGATATTGATTCTTCCTAACCGTGAGCATGGAATGTTTTTCCATCTGTGTCCTCTCTTATTTCCTTGAGCAGTGGTTTATAGTTCTCCTTGAAGAGCTCCTTCACGTCCTTTGTTAATTGTATTCCTAGGTATTTTATTCTCTTTGTGGCAATTGTGAATGGGAGTTTGCTCATGATTTGGCTCTGTTATTGGTGTATAGGAATGCTTGTGATTTTTGCACATTGATTTTGTATCTGGAGACTATATGCCACATTTTCTTCATCCATTCATCCATTGATGGAAGCTTGGGTTGATTCATATCTTGGTTATTGTGATTAATGCTGCAGTCAACATGGTGAGTGCAGATATTTCCTTGACACACTGATTTCATTTTCTTTAGATATATACCCAGTAGTGGGATTGCTGGGTCATATGGTAGTTCTATTTTTAATTTTTTGAGGAATCTCCATACTGTTTTCCATAATGGTGTACTAATTTAAATTCCCATCAACAGTGTATAAAAATTACTACTGGTGAAGATGTAGAGAAGATGGTACTTCTGGGCATTTTTCTTCTATTTAGACTAAAGTTGCAACTCTTAGCATATGTTTTTTTATACTACCCTTTAGGAAGGTGAAATTGTTGAAGTGGATGAAGAAACGGCAGCTATCTTGAAGAATTCACGATTTGCTCAAGATTTTCTGATCAGACCAATTGGAGAGAAGTTGTCAACATCTGGAGGCTGTTCTGCTTTAGAGTTAAAGGTTTGTTTGGCTTTCACTACCTCAGAGAACTATTTTATTTTATTTGTTTTTGAGATAGAGTCTCTCTCTGTCACCCTGGCTGGAGTGCAGTGGTGTGATCGAGGCTCACTGCAACCTCTGCCTCCTGGGTTCAAGCAAGTCTCCCTGCCTCAGCCTCCCAAGTAGCTGGGATTACAGGTGTGGGCAACCGCCCCCAGCTAATTTTTGTGTTTTTTAGTAGAGACAGGGTTTTGCCATGTTGGCCAGGCTGGCCTTGAACTCCTGACCTCAGGTGATCTGCCTGCCTCAGTCTCTCAAAGTGCCAGGATTACAGGCGTGAGCCACCATGCCTGGCCAGTATGCATGCTATCTTGAGGCACGCTTCTCTTACTGGTCAAATGTTATTAGAAGATTATATACCAGTTAGGGCTGGGCTCAGTGGCTTAAGCCTGTAATCCCAGCACTTTGGGAGGCTGAGGCAGGTGGATCACGAGGTCAGGCATTCGAGACCAGCCTGGCCAACATGGTGAAACCCTGTCCAAAAAATAAAAAGAGGCAAAATGGTGGCATTTAACTGGTATATAATCTTTTTTTTTTGAGACAGAGTCTCACTCTGTCACCCAGGCTGGAGTGCAGTGGCGTGATCTCAGCTCACTGCAACATCCACCTCCCGGGTTCAAGTGACTCTCCTGCATCAGTCTCCTAAGTAGCTGGGATACAGGCACCTGCCACCACACCTGGCTAATTTTTTGTACTTTTGTTAGAGATGGGGTTTTACTATGTTGGCCAGGCTGGTCTCGAACGCCTGACCTCATGATCCACCTGCCTTGGCCTCCTAAAGTGCTGATTACAGGTGTGGGCCACCACCACCACCCCCGGCCCATTTTGCCTCTTAATGCTCATGCTTGAGCCCATTTGCCCAACTCCTGAGATATTATCAGGAAGCTGCTGATCACCAGTTTCAGGTGTTTCTGTTTACTGAGAGACTTCCTTTCCCTGGTGCTTGCTGAGACCAACTGTGATTTTAGAGAGACAGTTAACAACGATCTGATCATCACCTAATGGTCACCTGATATTCCTGGTGGGGTCATGGGGAGCCTTCTGCCCTGCTAACGCCTGACTAGCTATTATACCTACTTTAACAAGTTCTCCAAAATTCAGGAACCTTTTGTGAATATTCTGATTTTATGATAACATAGTTATTTGCATATTTTAGTAAGACTCTTTTTCTTTCGAAACAGGATAATTGGAGACACTGGTTATTTTGCCAAGACTTTGACTGGAATAACATTTTTAGGTAAAGTTCTAGCAAAGCCAACTTAAAAAGAGCCTACATGGCCAATCAAATTTTTGCTCGACTTTATATGAATGATCAGGCAAAGTATAATTTTTCTTTAGTATGAAAGGAGGGGCTGGGTGCAGTAGTTCACATCCATAATCCCAGTACTTTGGGAGGCTGAGACAGGTGGGTTGCTTGAGCTCAGAAGTTTAAGACCAGCCTGGGCAACATGGTGAAACCTTGTCTCCACCAAAAATACAAAAAAATTAGCTGGGCATGGTGGCACATGCCGGTACTCCCAGCTACTCAGGAGGCTGAGTTGGGAGGATTGCTTGAGCCCAGGGAGGTGGAGGGCAGTGAGCCAAGATTTCGCCACTGCACTCCAGCCTGGGCAACGGAGTGAGACTCTGTCAAGAAAAAAAAAGGAGGCTAGAGAGAGAAATGTTTTCAAAGGAAAAATACAACACCTCTTATTAGATTTCCAGCCTAGACTTTTGTTTTTTAGTGCATATTGAATCATTAATTATTTCTTGGCTACAGTAACCCTCTAAAGATAAACCAGGTTATAATTTTTCTTAATGTTTTCGGTTTGTGCCCTAATGGAATAGGTTCCTTTTTCTGTTCTGACACACGAATACTCTTTTGACTGTCGTATTATTAATGTTATTTATATCTCTTTGTTTTACTTCCAAAGAAACCAGAATTATGGTATTCCAAGGCTAGAGAATTCCTCATTTGGAATATTACTGGTCCTGATCTGCTTTTCACTGCAAATTCCCTGATGCTAAAATTATATAAGCACCCTTCTCTAGGGCCCAGGGACCTATTACAGAAGAGGTAGGTGTTTGAGATTGTAACGGACAGTTTTGAGAGAATTAGTTCAGACCTTCCAAATCAAAAATGGGTACATTGATGCCTAAACAGCTGGCAAAATAAGGGACTCGGCCTCCTGGGTTATTACATGGGTGGTACCTTTTCATCCATCCAAACCATAAAGAATTTCCTGCCTCCTGAAGACTAAAAAGAAAATTATTACTGAGAGGATATAAAGGTACCTCATGTTAAAGTCTTCTAGGTATAATACTCCAAATTATGAGATTTATGGAAATAGACATATATTTTTAAAAAAATTTTAGAATAAATTACTGAAAGACCACAAAAAACACTGTAGCACAACACAAGTCTCTAAATTCCTTAGCTTAAAAGGTTTTAACAATGCTTATGTTTTGTATAGCTAATTGCTGTAAGTCTGTAACTAAAACCAAGATTACAGTAGCTCAATGCATAGAAGTTAAAGATAAGTCAATTTTTAAACCTCCCCTTTGGTTGTTTGTTTGTTGGCTTTATTTTTTTGAGACAAAGTCTCACTCTGTCACCCAGGGTGGACTGCAATGGCATGGTCTTGGATCACTGCAACCTCTGCCTCCTGGGTTCAAGCAATTCTCCTGCCTCAGCCTCCCAAGTAGCTGGGACTACAGGCGCGTGCCACCATACCCGGTTAATTTTTGTATTTTTAGTAGAGACGGGGTTTCACTATGTTAGTAAGACTGGTCTTGAACTCCTGCCTCAGCCTACTAAAGTGCTGGGATTACAGGTGTGAGCCACAGCGCCTGGCTACTCTGGCTATTTTTTTTTTTTTAAAGGAGTTAAATGAGTTTGCTTTTATAGAAGACCATTTTCTTTCAGCATAGCTGTCCTTGTTCTCCCTCCCAGTGTGCGTGCAGTGCATGTACGGGAGGTTCTTGACCTCAGATATAAATTGTAAAATTCCACATATTTGACCTGGTTTATCCCAACATAAGATCTCCTTTCTGTTTTAATTTATTTCAGCCTGCAGATGTGCCAATGTCTTTGGGTCAGTTTCAAGTTTTTGAAATGGGAATAAAGAACACTGAAGCAAGATTTTAATAAATGAAACAGCTGTGTGACCTAGGAATATAACCTTGTGCTCTTAAGGAAGGATATTCTTATCTTTCTTTTTTTTAAACGGAAGACCTTTATGATAAACACTGGAGTACAGAGAGTACATGTAGGCGGCAGGAAGGGTATTATATATACTTAATGTTTGAGACCTCTTCTGCTTTTTCTTTTCTTCATCTTCTTTTTAATCCTGATAAGCAAAGTGTATTTTGCTATTAAAAGAATAACACTGTTAAAACACTGCAGCATCTGGCTGGGCGCAGTGGCTCATGCCCGTAATCCCAGCACTTTGGGAGACAGAGGCAGGTGGATCACTTGAGTTCAGGAGTTCAAGAGCAGCCTGTCCAACATGGTAAAACCCTCCTCTACTAAAAATACAAAAAATTAGCCAGGTGTGGTGGCGGGTGCCTGTAATTCCAGCTTTTCGGGAGGCTGAGGCAGAAGAATCACTTGAACCTGGAGGCAGAGGTGGCAGTGAGCCAAGATCATGCCACTGCCCTCCAGCCTGGGCAACAAAGGGAGACTCCCTCTCAAAAACAAAAAACAACAAAACACTGCAGCATCTGAAATGATGCAGACAGAATTAGGGCTATGGACTGTCTTGTTTAATAGTAATGGTAGTAATAGCATTAACAACCATAGTAATAATATAGAGGAATGAACTTTTATTGAATAGTTTTTATTTGTTTTTTGAAATGGAGTCTTGCTCTGTCGCCAGGCTGGAGTGCAGTGGTGTGATCTTGGCTCACTGCAACCTCTGCCTCCTGGGTTCATGCAATTCTCCTGCTTCAGCCTCCTGAGTAGCTGGGACTACAGGTGTGTGCCACCACACCCAGCTAATTTTTGTATTTTTAGTAGAGACTGGGTTTCACCATGTTGGCCAGGATGGTCTCGATCTCTTGACCTTGTGATCCACCCCCGTCAGCCTCCCAAGGTGCTGGGATTACAGGCATGATTTATTTATTTATTTAGACAGAGTTTTACTTCATTGTTCAGGCTGGAGTGCAGTGGTGCAATCTTCACTCACTGCAACCTTCACCTCCTGGGATCAAGCAATTCTCTGGTCTCAGCCTCCCAAGTAGCTGGGATCAGAGATGTGTGCCACCACGCCCAGTTAATTTTTGTATTTTTGCTAGAGATGGGGTTTCACCATGTTGGCCAGGCTGGTCTTGAACTCCTAACCTCAAGTGATCCACTTCCCTTGGCCTCCCAGAGTGCTGGGATTACAAGCATAAGCCACTGTGGAGGCCAGGGTGAACCCTTTCAAGCAGTAGTTCCAGTATACTGGGAGGTGGAAATGCAATTGATATGAAGGCTGAGCTGTAGCAACCAGCAGAGCTGGCCTTCATCCAGGCTTGGGGATCCCCTGCCAGATGCTCATCTCACCAGATGCAGGCAGACCTTTTCATTTTAGAAAGGTAAGCACTGAGGGACAGAGAGACCAAGGCCACCAGGAAGTCAGTCACTTCAGTAAAGGGAATGGTCCGGTAGTCTGTCAGTTTCATGAATGTAGTCTGTGCCTGCCTTGTACACTCCTCTATTTGCAGTGACCAGCAATAAGTAGTAGGACTGTAAACTTATGTTTAATAAATTCATTACCAATATTTAAAGTGGCACGTTCATGCTTTTTCTTTTTCTTTTTTTCTTTTTTTTTGAGATGGAGTCTTATTCTGTTTCCTAGGCTGGAGTGCATTAGTGTGATCCCAGCTCACCGCAACCTCCACCTCCTAGGTTCAAGCGATTCTCCTGCCTCAGCCTCCCAAGTAGCTGAGACTACAGGCGTGCACCACCACAACTGGCTAATTTTTTGTACTTTTAGTAGAGATGGGGTTTTGCCATATTGCCCAGGCTGGTTTCAAACTCCTGGCCTCAGGTGATCCACCTGTCTCCGCCTCCCTAAATGTCAGGATTACAGGTGTGAGCCACTGTGCCTGCCCCCATGCTCTTGATTTTCTATCTTTGTGCCTGGCTTTTCTCTGGACCCCCTGGTGCTATTGTTAGAGGTATCTCATTTGGAGATGAAAGGAGGGAAAATAAATACAGCAGTCTTACCTTTTAAAAACTCCACGTATTCTCCTCTGAGATCTGTGTGGCCATTGTTGGCAATTTCATCTGAGCATCAGCAATTGACAAATGACTGCCCTACATCTGGAACTCACTTTCCTGTTTGGTATAAATGTTTCTGGAGATCAGAATAAAGGAAGAGAATAAGTTTTAGCATTTCAGTATCTCTGTTCCAAGGAGGTTTAAAAGGCATATGCAAATGATAATCCCTCAAAACAAAATCAGCTGAGCAAAAATCAATGCTTGGCCCAATAGGGACCATCTTTAAAAAGCTTTAAGTGAATTTTACCTTGAAAGTTGTAATCATTTCATTAGAAGCTTCAGGAAGTAAGTGGCTTTATGGCAGAATGACTGATGTTACTCTCAGGACCCCATGGATTGTAAAACTTTATCTCTGTTCTATGTAAATCAACCTAAATCAAACAGAAATATTAGTGTTTGTGTACATCAAAACACCTTTAACTTGTCCTTTCATTTTGGTTTGCCTTTTGACAGGTTATAATCACAGATCCATTTAAGCTTGCAGAAGAGTCTGACAGTATGAAGTCCAGATGTGTCCCTGATGCTGCTGGAGGCTGCTGTGGCACAAAGAAAAGCTGCTAAATCTACAGCCAACCAGGGGACCACAGTAGTGATGTGCATGTTTTTTAACCTGCTTTTCCCCATGGCAGAGACCATAAGAAACAATGGGGCTGGGCGTAGTGGCTCATGCCTATAATCCCAGCACTTTGGGAAGTCGAGGCTGGCAGATCACCTGAAGTCACGAGTTTGAGACCAGCCTGGCCAACATGGTAAAATCCCGTCTCTACTAAAAATACAAAAAAATTAGCTGGGCATGGTGGTGCACATCTGTAGTCCCGACTACTTGGGAGGCTAAGGCAGGAGAATCGCTTGAACCCAGGAAGTTGAGGCTGCAGTGAGTCAGCATTACACCATTGTACTCCAACATGGTTGACAGAGCAAGACTGTCTCAAAAGAAAAGAAAAAAGAAAAAACAACAAAAATCGTAGAAAGCCACCATATTCCAAATCAATGAAAAAAAAAACCGAATTATTATTTTTAGGAGGTATTGATTAAAGGTTCGCAGCAAATCATATGAAGACTAGTTAAGCAGACTCTTTTTCTATTTCCTAATTCAAAGTTCTGGTGCCACATAGTGGTCAAAAATGGAACAGAGACGCTGTCTTAAGGCTTGTTCACGAAGCAGGAAAGGCATCAGAAGAATAACTGGGCAGAGGGTCTCGGGAAAAGTATCTTCCTTTTGATCTTTTGCATAGCACCTTTTGAACTTTTCACTATGTTTACTTATTAAACAAAGCTCCTACTGCAATCATACTAAACATGCCAAAAGATTGCCAAATCATGTCTGGTAGGAGAACTGTTGAGGTAGTTTTCAAACAAATGCTTTTTTTTTTTTTTTTTTGATACGGAGTCTCGCTCTGCCGCCCAGGCTGGAGTTCAGTGGCACGATCTCGGCTCACTGCAACCCCTGCCTCCCACGTTCAAGCGATTCTCCTGCCTCAGCCTCCCGAGTAGCTGGGACTATAGGCACGTGCCACCATGCTGGGCTAATTTTTTGTATTTTAGTAGAGATGGGGTTTCATCATGTTTGCCAGGATGGTCTCGATCTACTGACCTCATGATCCGCCCGCTCCAGCCTCCCGAAGTGCTGGGATTACATGTGTGAGCCACCGAACCTAAACAAATACTATGTTTTTTCTTTTTTTGTAATTGAATTAAGAAAACAAATGTATCATAGACATCTTTGAACCCAGTGTCTCAGGAAAACAAATGAATCATAAATATCTTTGAATCACAAATATCTCACCCTAATGACTGATGACATAGTGATTATTCTAAATTATCCCAAATGGATCAGGAATAGAGTTTGTTTTTTAAAAAGAGAGCTAAGAGATATAAAAATGATCAGGTGTGGTGGTCTCAGGTGGTCCCAGACCTGTGGTCCCAGCTACTAGAGAGGCTGAGGTAAGAGGATCGCTTGAGCCCAGGAGTTCCAGGCTGCAGTGAGCTATGATCACACCACTGCACTCCAGCTGGGTGACACAGCAAGACCCTGTCTCAAAAAAATAATAAATAAATACGCTGGGCATGATGGCTTATGCCTATAATCCCAGCACTTTGGGAGGCCAAGGTGGGTGGATCACTTGAGGTCAGGAGTTCGAGACCAGCCTGGCCAACATGGTGAGACCCGATCTCTACTAAAAATTCAATATGTAGCTGGGTGTGATGGCGTGTGCATGTAATTCCAGCTACTTGGGAGGCCGAGGCACGAGAATTGCTTGAACCTGGGAGGTGGAGGTTGCAGTGAGCCAAGATTGTGCCACTGCACTCCAGGCTGGGCAACAGAGTGAGACTCTGTTGCAGAAAGAGCGAAAGAGGGAGGGAAAGAGGGGAAAGAAAGAAAGAGGGAGAAAGAAAGAAAGAGAAGGAAGGAGAAAGGAAGGAAGGAAAGAGTAAAAATGGTAGGTTTTCTTTTTCTTTATAAGGTGTCCTGGTTAAACTTTTAGCAAAGTGATAGATTTAGTTTTTCCATAGTTAAATAATAATATTAAGAACATTAAAGAAAGGTTCAAGGATGGTAAATAACTTGAATCCTATCTGTACTTGAAGACTTTACTGGAGGACACAGAAAGTTATAAGTCATGGTCCTTATCAGGAGCTGGATAATTTAGTTTTTAAATAACAAGCTTCAGGGTGGGCATGGTGGCTCACGCCTGGAATCCCAGCACTTTGGGAGGCCAAGGCAGGTAGATTACTCAGGAGTTCAAGACCAGTCTGACCAATACAGTGAAAACTCATCTCTACTAAAAATACAAAAATTATCCAGGCGTGGTGATGGGCACCTTTAATCCCAGCTACTTGGGAGACTGAGGCACAAGAATTGCTTGAACCTGGGGGGTGGAGGTTAACGTGACCAGAGATCGCGCCACTGCACTCCAGGCTGAGCGATGAGGGAGACTCCATCTCAAAAAAATAATAAAAAAAGAATAAATAAATATCCTTCAGCCAATCAAGGGTTTTGATAAGATATCAACCAGTTGCCTTGGACTCAGTACAAAAAGAACCAGGGGCATGGCACTGTCCATGGGATTTTGGACTAGGAGTTTGAGAATTTTAAGGCATGTAAAACATTGGAATGGATTCCATAGGATAGACTTCTGTTTTAAGAAACTTGTTTAAAATGGAGAAATTCTTAGATTTCTGAGTAGGTTCAGCTATAGAGCCTAACTTACTATTATAGACGGAAAGAACTAGGTAGTTATTTTTTAAGCCCTATTCACCTCCATGACCTTGATTTTAAACCTGCTTGCTTGGTTCTAGAGTTCCGTATCTACCTAGTCGTGACCTACTTTAATGTGAAAATGGCACATTATAGCATTACGTGGTACATTACACAGCACTGTACAGCATTACATGTACATTAAATGGTACAGTTATAATAGTACAGCTGGGATAAGCATACTTTGCTCTTCATGAGCACAAGATGGCCCTGCTCGAGGGGAATTGATTGAAAGGTGTTCTGTTGGCTGGGTGTGGTGGCTCATGCCTGTAATCCCAGCACTTTGGGAGGCCAAGGCAAGTGGATCACTTGAGGCAAGGAGTTCAAGACCATCCTGGCCAACATGGCAGAACCCTGTCTCTACTAAAAATACAAAAATTAGCCAGGCATGGTGGCCAAGGCCTATAATTTCAGCTACTTGGGTGGCTGAGGCACAAGAATCGCTTGAACGCAGGAAGTGGAGTGAGCCAAGATCACAACATTACACTCCAATCTGGGTGGCAGAGCAAGACTTTGTCTCAGAAAAAACAAGGCGGGGGGCTGTTTAATTGGTTTATTAAGCTTTTCTGCATTTAGGAGAGGGTATTAACTTTTTACTTGTCATTCTGAACTCTCAGTTCCCCAAAAAGATGTTGAGTAAGGAGATTGGGCTGGGCAACTTAGCAAGACCCCATCTCTAAAAAACAAAATATTTATTTATTTTTTAAAGACAGAGTCTTGCTCTGTCACCCAGCCTGGAGTGCAGTGGCATGATCTCGGCTCACTGCAACCTCTACCTCCCAGGTTCAAGTGATTCTCCTGCCTCAGCCTCCTGAGTAGCTGAGATTACAGGCACGTACCACCATACCTGGGTAATTTTTGTATTTTTAGTGGAGATGGGGCTTCACCATGTTGGCCAGAGTGGTCTCAAACTCCTGACCTCATGATCCACCTACCTTGGCCTCCCAAAGTTCTGGGATTACAGGTGTGAGTCACTGTGCCCAGCCTAAAAAATAAAAAAAAATAATAATAATAATAAAAAGAATTATGGAAGCCTGCAGAAGCTTTTCAGCTTACCAACTCAGGGAGGCCCAGCAGTAGCCTCAATAGGCCCCCCACCTCCACATCCAGCCATGCATAGCTTAAAAATAGGGCTTAAAAAATAACTTAGTGCCAAGACAGCCTCAGAGCCTGCTCCTCCTATTGATTCCCAGTCTTTACTTGGATGGCTCCAAGGAAGCAGCTGAGGTAGTCACTCATTCTGCCATGTTAAGATGGAAATTATATTAAATGAGTCTGGCAAGGCATGGGAACCTGTCTATCCTTTGTTTCATTCATTCACTAAACAGTTATTATCTCCTGTGTACCAGGCACTGTCCTAGGCACTGGTTGCTAAAATGGAATATGATGAATCCCATGCGCCAAGGGGACAGGCACTGCTGAGTGTGTTTTTTCAACTTTGTTGGTACCTGTCCTGACATCTGTGATTTGCCAAATTTCTTCAACCAGGCACCCCAATTTAGGTCCAAACAAAGGCTCTTTTGTAGACCCTGCCCCAAGAGTCAGTAGAGGGAGATCCCACTAGGTTAAACATTAACTCTTTTTGAGGTTACAGTGAGCTATGATCATGCTACTGCACTCCAGCCTGGGTGACAGAGCAAGACCTTGTCTCTCAAAAAAAAAATTATTTTGCAAATATGAAGCTGGAATTATGCAATCCTAACAATAACCTACGATGAGCTTTACTGCTTCATTCTAGTTCAACTGCTGACCTTGCAATTCCTGAAAGCATAACTCCCACTGAGGTTAATGGGAGTGTTAGGTGAATGTAAGTTTTGGACTTAATTTCCTCCTGCTGCGTGAACCTTGCTTGTCTTGGACACAGAACCGTAACAGTTCCCTTCCCCAGTGGGAACATGGTGGCCCCACCTTCCATGTAGCAGGGCCATGCTGCAGTGCAGTGCTCCAGGTGAGGGGAAGATCAGGTTAGAACCAAAATGTTCTGCCTAATACTACTTCATTGCCTCATATAGTAACACGATGCCTCATAATACATTGTCCAGAAGCCAGAGAAAGTAAAAATGTAGGCTGGCCAGTCAATGCTGTTCTAGACACACTGTAGGCCAGACTTGGGTCTGGTAACTTTTTCTTTTTTTTAGAAATGGGGTCTTGCTAGCTTGTCCAGGCTGGACTTGAACTTCTGGGCTCAAGTGATCTTCCCACCTCAGCCTCCCAGGTAGCTGGGCTGCAGGCGCATGCCAGTGAGCTTATTGCTAACTTTTAAACTAGGCCGAAAGCCACTAACCTTTTTCTCACTGGTGGAGTGAAACTGATGCAGGACCCGGCAAGCAGGTATTCCTTCAAATCTGGCTTTTGCTGAACTAGTTATTTGGCCATAGGAATGTCA